GTGCATGGGCATGTCATTTATTGCCTGTTCGAAGTCATTTGGCGTCAGGATAACATCGGATAGGCTTGTGTTAATCAAATTTTGTGGCTCTCTCATAAAAAATTCATTTTGGTCTTCGACTCTCAGTCTGGTTAGCGGCTTGCTAAAAACTGAGTCATATTGGGACTTGAGTAGCTCACTCATTTCCTTGCTCTCATCTGTGTAGGACCCATCTTGTTTAAGTAGGGGCCCAATACTGGACGTTGTTCTCGATTTTGATTTGGCATAGGAGAAGAAATACTTTGGGTTTCTTTCGATTTCATTTATGGCTTTTAGTTCTTCCCGCGATTCCTGACTCCTAAAGGATTCTTTTAGCTTAAGTTCGATGCTTGCTATTTCTCTGACCAGTGTCTCCCTACGCATTTCAGATATATTGACCTCTTTTAGCCGCTCTGTTATTCTTTTCCGTCGCCTGTAAAGGGAGCGCCTGTCTCTTTCTGTTTTACATCTACTCCTCCTTTTTCTTAGAGGATAAGCCTTGTGCATACATCGAGTGCCACCAAGTTAATCTGTTCTAGGCATAAGTTGGGGTCTGTGTTGCTTAGTATATCTTCCCAGCTTATATCGGTTAGGACTTGGTTTTACTTGGTCCCACTTTATGTTTTTGTTATTGAAGTTGAATTTGGTGAATGCTCCCTCGTGACTAATCTCATTATGTCGGTCTGGGGCTCCGCGCATACATGACTGAACCTCAATTATGTTGTGATCTGAGTATATTGTTTTTGATATGGTGATATTTCTTATCAGATCATCATTGTTAGTGAAGATGAGGTCTAGTGTATTCTCCAGTCTAGTAGGCTCTATTATTTGCTGGTTTAAATTGAATTTTGTGCAGAGATTTAAAAGCTCGCGTGAGTGTGAGTTTTCATCAGAGCTGCCTCCTGGTGTTATTACTGCAACAATATTATTTGCTATATTCCTCCATTTTAGGTGCCTTAAGTTGAAATCCCCCAGGAGCAAGATGTTGGGTGCAGGAGCTGGAAGGTTTTCCAGACAGTGGTCAATTTTTAACAGCTGTTCCTGGAATTGCTGGGATGTTGCATCCGGAGGCTTGTAGACTATGTTATGCCTGTGGGTTCTGTCACAACTATCAAGAAAGCGTTTTAGGTCAAGGTTAATATTGGAATTTAAGGTCCTGTAGATGTAGATTGCACAGTAGTAAGTGTGGATGTACTGAACAGGGAGTAAGTTTAGATCTATGAAGAGTGGATGGGGGTGTTGCCAGGGATGGGATTTAGTGATTATTCTTACTGTGGCTTTTTGTTGGGTAATTATTGGCTTTAGGTGTGTTGCTGCAGTTGATCCCCAAGCACAAATAGCATAGGTGAGGTATGGATAAATAAGTGAGTGGTATAGTGTGAGAAGGGCATTTTGAGGCACGTAGTATCGTATCTTGGAGAGGATCCCAACCGTTTTGGATACTTTTTTGGTTATGTGTTTTATATGGGTGCTGAAATTCAGGTTGTTGTCGAGGTATAGGCCTAGGAATTTGCCCTCATTATGTCTGGCAATTAGAGTGTTGTCGATCTTAATGTTAATTTGCGCAACTCCTGCTCTGCTACCAAACATAATATAGTAGGTTTTGTCAGTGTTAAGCGTAAGTTTATTGGCTGTCATCCAAGTCGATATTTTGAGCAGCTCCTCGTTAACAATGGTGTTGAGGGTGGCAAGATTAGGGTGAGAGATGACATAAGTCGTGTCGTCAGCAAAGAGAATGGGGTTCAGGTGTTGGGATACATTTGGAAGATCATTGATGTATATGAGGAAGAGCAGGGGACCAAGGACGCTTCCCTGTGGAACTCCAGTATCAAGTGGCCGTGTTGATGCTGTGTCTTTAATGGTGACATACTGATACCTATTAGTAAGGTAGGATTTGAAATATGCAAGTGAATGGCCTCTTATACCATAATGGTCAAGTTTGTGGAGTAGGGTGCCATAGTCTACTGTGTCAAAAGCTTTTCTTAGGTCAATAAAAATTCCTAGTGGATATTCCTTATTTTCCAATGCTGTGTAAAGCAGATCTAGCATTTTTATAATTGCATCATTAGTGCTTTTATTTTTCCTGAATCCAAATTGGCAGGGGTTGAGTATGTTTTGTGACGGTATAAATGAAAATAGTCTCCTGTGCACGAGTTTCTCGAAGATTTTGGATAGCAATGGTAAGTTTGATATTGGCCTATAGTTGTTTACATCTATAGGGTCACCACCTTTATGTATTGGTGTAACCCTTGCTGTCTTGAGTAGTGTCGGGAAAGTGCTAGTTTCTAGTGACTTGTTAAAAAGTAATGTAATAGCATGCGAAAGGACATGGGCTGCTCGCTTGTACAATAATGGTGGGACATGAGACAGATTCCCTTAGTTATTTTTAAGTGACTTTATAATCTCGGTGACTTCAGAGGGCTCAGTTGGTACAAGATAGAAGGAATTTGGGAAATTCCCAGCTAGGTAGTCCCCGGCATGGGCATTGGTACGTGGAATTTTACTGGCGAGATTAGATCCTATGGTTGAGAAGAAGTCGTTTATCTTGTTAGCTGTTTCAGTGGGATGCAGTGGTGTTTTATTAGGTTTAGTTAGGACAATATTCTTGTTTTTTTCAGTTTATGGGTCCCTAGAATCTGGGAGAGTGTTTTCCAGGTCTTTTTTATATCTCCTCTAGTGCCTGTGAATCTACTGGAGTAGTATAGTTGTTTGGCTTTCTTTATTACTTTGATGAGAACTGATGAATAGTGTTTAAGAATATCTTTGTGTATTAAGCCCTGTCTATATTGCTTTTCATATTAGTGTTTCTTATCAATGGATTTCAGAATGGTGCTGGTTAGCCATGGGCAACCAAGCCGTTTATTCGTGATCTGTTTCATTTTTATAGGGCAATGTTTGTTGTATAGTCTAAGTAATTTGTTGAGAAAAATGTCTGTCCAGTCATCAATACCATTGGCCTTGGAGAATTCTGTAGTCCAGTCAACAGTCTCTAGGTCAGCTGTGAACTTCCTTATTGAGGCCTCGTCATAGAGTCTAAATGAAACTTTGTTGTATTCCAGTGGTGGTTTACTAAAGTTTGGCAAGAGGAAGGTAGGGTAGTGGTCTGTAGTGCTGTCTGTGATTATCCCTGATTTAAGGGGGGCTAGTATATTGGTCCATATGTGGTCTTTTATGGTTGCACTTGTCTCAGTGAGCCTGGTTGGTTTAGTTATTGTTGGTATGAGAAGTGTGTTGTTCATATTGTTGATGAAATCAGTTACAGGCTGATCATCTAGTAGGCCAAGGTTGATATTGAAGTCTCCAGCTAAGAGAAGGTGGTGCTTGTTCATTTGTCTGTTTGTTATTAGTGACTTTAATTTCTCACTGAAATTTGGGATGTTTGTGTGGGGTATCCAGTAAATGGCACCGATTGTTATAGGCGTCTTAAGGTTTATTACAGTAAAATTATCAAAAATATATTCCCCATATTCATCACTAAAGCAAGTGGTGCTAATACAAGATAATTGGTTAGAATAATAGATTGCAATACCACCCCCAACTTGGTATGGTCTGCAGTTGTGGATTGCTGTGTATCCTGGAAGAGGGTAGATATCTATTGTGTCCTGCTTAAGCCAGGTCTCAGTAAAAATAATGCAGGAGAAGGGTTATCTAAAGGCTATCTATGAAGGTAAAAATGGGGAATTTATCAGACGATAGTGGTATCAACGCTTTTACACGAGTGCGAAGCTTTTTATGGTTGAGCGAGAATGAGACTGGGGGTAGTGATGTCAAGCATGAGAGTAACATGTGGTGACGATCTAGTCTCATACATCACTGGGAGCAGTGATGTCAAGTATGAGAGTAACGTGTGGTGACGATCTAGTCTCATACATCACTGGGAGCAGTGATGTCACGTATGAGTAACGTGTGGTGACGATCTAGTCTCATACATCACTGGGAGCAGTGATGTCATGTATGAGAGTAACGTGTGGTGAGGCTCTAGTCTTGTAATTACACTACTCACTTCCAGTTTTCTAGTAAAACTATCGCTTCCACATTTACTCCTCAGACTCTGCTAAAGCCTAAACTTCCCTGAGGTTTTATATTTATTCTCAACATAAATCATCAATCTCAATTGTGTGCTCTTCCATATTTTCTTATTCTTTCACATTTTTCATTAAAACTACTGTAGTCAAGCATCACATTTTTCCAGCATGAAAAAAGTCTTTTTAATGCTCTGAGTGTCTGGAGACAGCATGTGTGTCTGTGTAACGATCTACCTAGAGACAGTATGTGTCTGTGTAACGTTCTATCTGGAGACAGTGTGTGTGTCTGTGTAACGTTCTACCTGGAGACAGTACGTATGTCTGTAACGTTCTATCTGGAGACAGTACGTGTGTCTGTGTAACGTTGTACCTGGAGACAGTACGTTTGTCTGTAACATTCTACATGGAGACAGTACGTATGTCTGTAACGTTCTATCTGGAGACAGTACGTGTGTCTGTGTAACGTTGTACCTGGAGACAGTACGTTTGTCTGTAACATTCTACATGGAGACAGTACGTATGTATGTGTAACGTTCTATCTGGAGACAGTACGTATGTCTGTGTAACGTTCTATCTGGAGACAGTACGTGTGTCTGTGTAACGTTCTACCTGGAGACTGTACGTGTGTCTGTGTAACGTTGTACCTGGAGACAGTACGTATGTCTGTGTAACGTTCTATCACCAGCAGGATGGTTATGGTAGTAGATAGTACCAAATCAGTTTATGAGTGCCATCCACTTGTTAAATTTGTTCAGACTGTTTTTAACATAAAATGCTGTACCAACTATCTGCGCACATAACAATAACTGATGAGTCACGAGGTAAATCTTGGGTTGGCATATTTTTTCTTTCAACGAACTGGCCGCGTCCCACGGAGGCAGGGTGACCCAAAAAGAAAACCAAAAGTTTCTCTTTTTAAATTTAGTAATGTAAACAGGAGTTAATAAAAAATCTTACCTGGCATAAAAGAAATGTAAATTGTCCTGAGGAACTTATGCCCTTCTTTTCTAAGACGTTTAAGAGCCTCTATATACTGTATTCCAACACACTTCATGTCTTGAGTGCCTCTCCCGTATATATCTCCCTTTTCATCTTTATGTGCACTGAATGGGTCATATTTCCAATTTTCCTGTAATGAGAAAAAACGTATGTAACCCGAATTAATAACTTTTATCATACAGAAAGCTGACCAACAGCGGTAAAATCACTAGCAAACACTATTCCCTTGACTGTGTCTATGCCTTAAAAAATATTAAGAAATAAACAAGAATGTAGGTAAATGGCTCAGAGAACCGTGTAACACTTGGGTATCTTTACTGAGGAAACATTTCGCCACACAGTGGCTTCATCAGTCCAGTACAAAGGAGAATGGTGAAGATCAGGAGGAGTTTGAGGTAATTAGTCCCTCAGCCTATAGTCAATACAATCAGTCCATCAGTTTTCACCTTTCTCCTTTGTATTGGACTGATGAAGCCAATGTGTGGCGAAACGTTTCTCCGTTAAAGATATCCAAGAGTTAAATATGTGTTTAATTTATTAAACAAGAAGTACAGTGGAACTTTGGTGTTCGAGCATCCTGGACCTCCAACAAGCCGGAGTCTGAACACTTTTTTCAGAAAAAAAAAAAAATTGACCCGGTATTTGAACGTTTTTCTGGAGTCCGAACACGCTGACTTGTTTAAAATTCAGTTATAAAAAACTTTAGAGGAAAGCTGTGTTTCAGAAGTGCTTTGAAGTGACCTCTGACACAGACCTGACTCTCAGAGACTTTTGGAAGAGTCAGTTCAACATCCACCAGTGTAAGAGGTTGGTAATTAAAGCCTGGCAAATACTGTCTCCCACATCCAACTTTTCACAGTTCCAACACCACCCGGGACACAATTAAGTTCAAATACCGAGGTTCCACTACAATGTTACAAGAGAATCCGACTCTTACGAATAGCTCCATAGTTCCTAACATGTAATACTGTAGATTCAGACTCCTCCATTAATGCCTTTAATAACAAGGAACATCAAATACAAAGAACAATACTGTTAGCAATTATCAAATACAGTGTTAGGTAAGACACATATGCAACAGTTAGGTATCTTTATTTCGAAACGTTTCGCCTACACAGTAGGCTTCTTCAGTCGAGTACAGAAAAGTTGATAGAAGCAGAAGATACTTGAAGACGATGTAATCAGTCCATCTTCTCCAGACTGAGGGACTGACCACCTCAAAACTTTAAGGGTGATGGACTGATTACATCGTCTTCAAGTCTCTTCTGCTTCTATCAATTTTTCTGTACTCGACTGAAGAAGCCTACTGTGTAGGCGAAACGTTTCGAAATAAAGATACCTAACTGTTGCATATGTGTCTTACCTAACAACCTGTCGGTATTTTATACCATTTTAATGTTCCATCAAATACAGTATAATACAGTTCTGACCATTTAAAAATTTTCATCTGATATTTTGCTAGGTTTAATAACCTGTGTATGGTCATTCTCTTTAAAAAAATATATGTTCAAAAAATATGTAAATCAGAAGAAAAAGATTGTTTATGCCATTACAGTGATAATGTGACTTTATTACTTTTTAAAAAATCCACAAAGGCATTATCCGTTATCCACAGATATCTATTATCCACAAATTTATCCATTATCCACAAAGATATCCATTATCCACAAAGATTCATTATCCACAAAGATTCATTATCCACAAAGATTCATTATCCACAAAGATTCATTATCCACAAAGATTCATTATCCACAAAGATATCCATTATCCACAAAGATCCATTATCCACAAAGATATCCATTATCCACAAAGATATCCATTATCCACAAAGATTCATTATCCACAAAGATATCCATTATCCACAAAGATCCATTATCCACAAAGATATCCATTATCCACAAAGATATCCATTATCCACAAAGATTCATTATCCACAAAGATATCCATTATCCACAAAGATATGCATTATCCACAAAGATATCCATTATCCACAAAGATTCATTATCCACAAAGATATTCATTATCCACAAAGATTCATTATCCACAAAGATATCCATTATCCACAAAGATATCCATTATCCACAAAGATTCATTATCCACAAAGATATCCATTATCCACAAAGATATGCATTATCCACAAAGATATCCATTATCCACAAAGATTCATTATCCACAAAGATTCATTATCCACAAAGATATCCATTATCCACAAAGATATCCATTATCCACAAAGATTCATTATCCACAAAGATTCATTATCCACAAAGATATCCATTATCCACAAAGATATTCATTATCCACAAAGATATCCATTATCCACAAAGATTCATTATCCACAAAGATATCCATTATCCACAAAGATATTCATTATCCACAAAGATTCATTATCCACAAAGATATCCATTATCCACAAAGATATTCATTATCCACAAAGATTCATTATCCACAAAGATATCCATTATCCACAAAGATATGCATTATCCACAAAGATATCCATTATCCACAAAGATTCATTATCCACAAAGATTCATTATCCACAAAGATATCCATTATCCACAAAGATATCCATTATCCACAAAGATTCATTATCCACAAAGATTCATTATCCACAAAGATATCCATTATCCACAAAGATATTCATTATCCACAAAGATTCATTATCCACAAAGATTCATTATCCACAAAGATATCCATTATCCACAAAGATTCATTATCCACAAAGATTCATTATCCACAAAGATATCCATTATCCACAAAGATATCCATTATCCACAAAGATATCCATTATCCACAAAGATATTCATTATCCACAAAGATATCCATTATCCACAAAGATATCCATTATCCACAAAGATATCCATTATCCACAAAGATATTCATTATCCACAAAGATTCATTATCCACAAAGATATCCATTATCCACAAAGATATTCATTATCCACAAAGATATCCATTATCCACAAAGATTCATTATCCACAAAGATATCCATTATCCACAAAGATATTCATTATCCACAAAGATTCATTATCCACAAAGATTCATTATCCACAAAGATATCCATTATCCACAAAGATATCCATTATCCACAAAGATATTCATTATCCACAAAGATTCATTATCCACAAAGATTCATTATCCACAAAGATATCCATTATCCACAAAGATATTCATTATCCACAAAGATTCATTATCCACAAAGATATCCATTATCCACAAAGATATCCATTATCCACAAAGATATTCATTATCCACAAAGATTCATTATCCACAAAGACATCATCCATTAAACGTAAAGATATCATTCATTTATTATACAATGATCCTAAAAATAAAAATAAACCAGGTGGTTATATTATACAGACTACACCATGTGGGCGACTCAGAGCACTACACACACACACTTTAGTGGTGTGTACAGGACACGGGGCGCATAACAAAGCTGTCAGAAAAACCGTTTTAGGTTCACTGTCACCGTTAATTAAGTAACTGAATGCAAAACCCGAGTAACAAATTTTGTTAGTTATGGTTAATGATTTTGTAAAATAAAAAAGTGGTGTCGTAATTTGCTCATGTTAACAGTGTTGAAGTTCAAGATTCACTACGTGCCTTTGTAACCTTGTTAGACTAACACCTCAATATTCACTACGTGCCTTTGTAACCTTGTTAGACTAACACCTCAATATTCACTACGTGCCTTTGTAACCTTGTTAGACTAACACCTCAATATTCACTACGTGCCTTTGTAACCTTGTTAGACTAACACCTCAAAATTCACTACGTGCCTTTGTAACCTTGTTAGACTAACACCTCAAGATTCACTACGTGCCTTTGTAACCTTGTTAGACTAACACCTCAATATTCACTACGTGCCTTTGTAACCTTGTTAGACTAACACCTCAAGATTCACTACGTGCCTTTGTAACCTTGTTAGACTAACACCTCAAGATTCACTACGTGCCTTTGTAACCTTGTTAGACTAACACCTCAAGATTCACTACGTGCTTTTGTAACCTTGTTAGACTAACACCTCAAGATTCACTACGTGCCTTTGTAACCTTGTTAGACTAACACCTCAAGATTCACTACGTGCCTTTGTAACCTTGTTAGACTAACACCTCAAGATTCACTACGTGCTTTTGTAACCTTGTTAGACTAACACCTCAAGATTCACTACGTGCCTTTGTAACCTTGTTAGACTAACACCTCAATATTCACTACGTGCCTTTGTAACCTTGTTAGACTAACACCTCAATATTCACTACGTGCCTTTGTAACCTTGTTAGACTAACACCTCAGGATGATCATGGGATGCACAATAACACTGCCGAACTAACTAGGCTTCAATGTTCTCTTAGATGAGAAGTTACAATAGTGATGATTTTTTTTTACAAGCGTAATGATTTCGATAACAATATTAATAAGAGAAACTTGTGCAACATTTTGGGTATCTTTATTCTGGAAATGTTTCGCCAGCCAGTGACTTCTTCAGTCCAATACAGAGAACGGTGGAAAATGAAGAATTTGAGGAAACATTACACAAGTATGTCAGTTTATTAACCTGTCGGGTTTCAAAATCATTAATACAAACAATATTATTGTCTGAAAACAATTACATTATTGCAAAGGTTGAGTTACTGTGTCCCGCAGCTCGTTTATTAGCGCACTTAGTTCACACATTGAGGTCCGTGGTTACATCCCCGGTATTTCCTTTAGACACCTGTTATTTAAGTTTACCTAGCAGTAAAATATGTACCTGGGTGTTAGTCGACTGGTGTGGGTCGCATCTTGGCACAAAATTGACATAATTTTGCGGGAAATGCTCAGCATAACAACCGGCTTTCTATATAGTAGTATGTCATTGATGTCACCTAGGCCTGTATACCTTGTACATGTACTTGTAGATATAAAGATTTATTATTATTATTATTATTATTATTATTATTATTATTATTATTATTATTATTATTGTTATTATAAAATAAAGTTATTACGCAATGAAAAGCTGAAATACTACAAATGTTCAAATTGGCTGATAAGAGGAGAGATATAAGCACATACAAGGTCAACAGAGTCACAGAAGAACGAAAACAACTCGCAGGTAGTGTTACTGGGGCGAGAGAATTTGGCCAAACTTGAAATTTAGGTCGAACGGGTGGGTGGAGAGTTAGACCTGCCTAGCATGGGTCAATAACCCTACTGCAGTGTTGCTTTATTATCAGGTTCTTATATTTTTATTAATAAAGAAGAATGTTTAGTACCAGCAGTGCGAATAACAAGTTCAAAAGCGTAAATTCAGGGAAAAATGGTGCCGATGGGAAACTAGGGAAAAATTCTTGGCAAACAGACATGTAAAAATGGAAAGAATTAAATCAAGAATTTAAAAATTGCTAGAACTTTTAAAACTTATATGATGAAATGATCACTGAAGACACAAGACGACCAGCTTAGCTCTGCTCCAGTAGCTACATATAAGCAATTACAAATAACTTTACTCACAGGAAACACTGGCACGACATCCGTGTGGGAGTTGAGGAGTAGTGATGGAAGATGAGGGTCTTGTCCCACTAGAGTTATCACCATAATAGGATTCCCAGGGACACATTCTATCACCTGATAATCGGCATCTAATTCTTTTGCTTGTTGTTCCAGAAACTTGATGCAGGAAGCTGATGGGGAGAAAACTATGGGTGAAAAACTGTAATGCTGATAAAATTAATTACCTTTTAGTATTAATACTTTAAACTGATTTACAGTATCCTTGGGGCATATCCAGGGTGGTTACTTTGTTGCCCAGAAACCACTTCCCCCCCCCCCTTTTGATGTCCAGACAGAAGTGTCTTGCATCTACCCTCCCCCTCCCCCCTCTTTCACCTCTTTGTTGACCCTTCGAGGGTCGAGACTCCTGCTTACAAACTTGTTCCCAGAGTCGAATATAAAAAAAAAAAAATTTCTTGTGAAATGATAGAGAATCTTTTTCCCAAGGTAATGAAACCACATAAGGGGGATTACCAATAGACTCCTGGCAGTCTTCAAGCTGGTACTGGACAAGCACCTAAAGTCGGTACCTGACCAGCCGGGCTCGTACGTTGGATTGCGTGCAGCCAGCAGTAACAGCCTGGTTGATCAGGTTCTGATCCACCAGGAGGTCTGGTCACAGACCGGGCCGCGGGGGCGTTGACCCCCGGAACTCTCTCCAGGTAAACAGCATCTTGCTCCTGGGGGGATTTCAACTTAAGGCACCTAAAATGGAGGAATATAGCAAATAATGTTGTTACAGTGATAACACCAGGAGGCAGCTCAGACGACAACTCACACACACACACGAGCTTTTAAATATCTGCACAAATTTCAACTTAAACCAGCAAATAATAGAGCCTACTAGACTGTTGAATACACTAGACCTCATCTTCACAAACAATGATGATCTGATACGAAATGTCACCATATCAAAAACAATATACTCAGATCACAACATAATCGAGGTTCAGACATGTATGCGCGAAGCCCCAGACCAACAAAATGAGATCAGTCACGAGGGAGCATTCACCAAATTCAACTTCAGTAACAAGAACATAAAGTGGGACCAAGTAAACCAAGTCCTAAACGATATAAGCTGGGAAGATAGACTAAGCAACACAGACCCCAACTTATGCCTAAAACAGATTAACTTGGTGGCACTCGATGTATGCTCAAGGCATTTTTCCTTTAAGAAAATGAGTAGATGTAAAATAGAAAGAGACAGTCGCTCCCTTTACAGGCGACGGAAAAGAATAACAAGAGCAGCTAAAAGAGGTTAATATATCTGAAATGCGTAGGGAAACACTGGTCAGAGAAATAGCAAATATCGAACTAAAGCTAAAGGAATCTTATAGGAGTCAGGAATCGTGGGAAGAACTAAAAGCCATAAATGAAATCGAAAGAAACCCAAAGTATTTCTTTTCTTATGCCTGGTTACCTGGAGGTTACCTGGAGGTTATTCCGGGGATCAACGCCCCCGCGGCCAGGTCCATGACCAGGCCTCCCGATGGATCAGGGCCTGATCAACTAGGCTGTTACTGCTGGCCGCACACAGTCCAACGTACGAGCCACAGCCCGGCTGATCCGGCACTGACTTTAGGTATCTGTCCAGCTCTCTCTTGAAGGCAGCCAGGGGTTTATTGGCAATTCCCCGAATGCTTAATGGGAGGCTGTTGAACAGCCTTGGGCCCCGGGCACTTATGGTGTTTTCCCTTAGTGTACCAATGGCACCCCTACTTTTAATTGGGGGCATTTTGCATAGCCTGCCCAGTCTTTTACTTTCGTAGGGAGTGATTTCTGTGTGCAGATTTGGGACCATTCCTTCCAGGATTTTCCAAGTTTAGATTATGATATATCTCTCCCTCCTGCATTCCAACGAGTACAAGTCAAGTGCCTCCAAGCGTTCCCAGTAGTTAAGGTGCTTGACAGAATTTATACGTGCAGTAAAGGATCTCTGTACACTCTCTAGATCTGCGATTTCACCTGCTTTGAATGGAGATGTTAATGTACAGCAGTATTCCAGCCTAGAGAGAGCAAGTGATTTGAAAAGGATCATCACTGGCTTGGCATCTCTCGTTTGGAACGTTCTCATTATCCATCCTATCATTTCCTTTGCACGTGCGATCGTGCCAAATCAAAGTCGAGAACAACATCCAGTATTGGGCCCCTACTTAAACAAGATGGGTCCTACACAGATGACAGCAAGGAAACGAGTGAGCTACTCAAGTCCCAATATGACTCAGTTTTTAGCAAGCCGCTAACCAGACTGAGAGTTGAAGATCAAAATTAATTTTTATGAGAGAGGCACAGAATTTGGTTAACACAAGCCTATCTGATGTTATCCTGACGCCAAATGACTTCGAACAGGCGATAAATGACATGCCCATGCACTCTGCCCCAGGGCCAGACTCATGGAACTCCGTGTTCATCAAGAACTGCAAGAAGCCCCTATCACGAGCTTTTACCATCCTATGGAGAGGGAGCATGGACACGGGGGTCGTCCCACAGTTACTAAAAGCAACAGACATAGCCCCACTCCACAAAGGTGGCAGTAGAACAATAACAAAAAACTACAGACCAATAGCACTAACATCCCATATCATAAAAATATTTGAAAGGGTCCTAAGAAGCAAGATCGTCACCCATCTAGATACCCATCAGTTACACAACCCAGGGCAACATGGGTTTAGAGCAGGTCGCTCCTGTCTGTCTCAACTTCTGGATCACTACGACAAGGTCCTGGATGCACTAGAAGACAAAAAGAATGCAGATGTAATATACACAGACTTTGCAAAAGCCTTCGACAAGTGTGACCATGGTGTAATAGCGCACAAAATGCGTGCTAAAGGAATAACAGGAAAAGTTGGTAGATGGATCTATAATTTCCTCACAAACAGAACACAAAGAGCAGTAGTAAACAGAGTAAAGTCGGCAACGGTGAAAAGCTCTGTTCCACAAGGCACAGTACTCGCTCCCATCTTGTTTCTCATCCTCATATCTGACATAGACAGGGATGTCAGCCACAGCACCGTGTCTTCCTTTGCAGATGACACCCAAATCTGCATGACAGTGTCTTCCATTGCAGACACTGCAAGGCTCCAGGCGGACATCAACCAAATCTTTCAGTGTTTTTTTAAGTTTAATCTCTTTATTATGCACCCCATACCCATCCTGTGGGCGGTAGTCAAAAGATTACAGAGGTACATAATGGGTCCAGGGACTGGGCCTCAAAGTTTTGATAGCTGAGCAAGTTACAAAGGTAATGAACTCACAATTTACAAAGGTAATGAAGTCACAATTTACAAAGGTAATGAACTCCAGGTAGGTCTGGTCACAATCATGACAAGTTACAAAGGTATTTACAGATTACAGAGGTACGTAATGGGTCCAGGGACTGGGCCCCCAAGGTTTTGATAGCTGAACTAGGTACAAAGGTAATGAACTCACAAGTTACAAAGGTAATGAATCCTGTAAGAATGGTTACTTACGTTTATACATGGCTACAATTATGAACAAATTATAGAGTACTGAGCAATTCACACTTCCACACCCAGTCACAACTGTAGTGAGTTACTGGTGCAAATATTGATTGTTGAGTCACACACACACACACTGGAGGGCAGGAGAGATAGGGGGGACATGATTGTGGAAAATACTGTATATATTTTCCAGAAATTCAGTATTTATATGTATATAGATGGCCATACTGTATTTAATAACATTTATATCATAGAAAATGGGAAACTGAGCCTGGGGAGAAGGGACAGTCGCCATTATGGTTTTGAATTTTGTATAAACGTTGGTGTAATGGGAAGAATTTTTCGTGCTCAAGAGGTTAAAATTGTGTTGACACCTCTCAAATAGGAGGCGAAATTGGTGGATGTGCATTCCTGCATAACTTGAGATATCAGACGACTGGACAAGACAGCTCCAGGAACCTCAGATAAGCTCTCTAGATTTGTGTGTAATTCTGGCCAGCATTATTTTCATAGATTTAGTTAGAGTGAGGTTTTCTGAGTATGATACACATTAATCTCCAGTCAAATTGGTGAGTGATATTAAGATATATTTTCCTTCTGTTATGTAATTGTATATATATAACCATTTATTATTTTTAATATACAGTCCACAAATTTATATATTTACCAGTATTCCTGGTGTATGTATATTTCATTTAATTAATAGGTCCAGAGCAACTTGTGGTTATGACAGTGGTAGGTATCGAAGGGGGACATTTTTGCGACCTAGGTGTCCCAAATTCCTACTTGTCTATGTAACATTGATAAATAATAATCTTTGTTATCATTTACTGTTATGTACATAATTAGTTACATTCAGATAAATGCAATTTTCCACATTTAATTTGCCCGTTGGTCCTTCTTGAACCGGAGGTAATTAGTGAAGTCATTAATTAGTTAATTACTTAATAATTATATGTGAAATGACAGGAGGTGGATGTTAAGTCTGGATAATTTACTTAATGTGTAGTGGATTATAATTATTACAATATTAACTTGGATAAGTCAAGTGTGGCTAAAGATTATATTAATGTGTATAAGTGTATGTGTAATTGATAAGACAAGTGTGGCTAATTATATTGTATATAATATTAATTTTGCTATGCCAAATTCTGGCAAGGATTTATATTTGTATAATATTAATTTTGATAAGCCAAGTCTGGCTAAAGGTTTGTTTGTATTAATGTACATTTAAAATTTATATTATAATTTTTTACATGTAGTTGCTGAGCTCAAGTAGCTGGGATTTATTCAAAGGTAGGTTGTGTCAGTGTTGTGAGTTGTAATCAGTGTTATTAATTGGGTTGAATTTAATACATTGCATCATGGCTGAAAATGAGGAAATTAATATAGAAGACAAACATATGGAATATCGAGCAAAGAAAGCATCACTGCAAGCTAGAAAGGGTCATGTAACCAAGGCATATAATAAATGTTTGGAATTAATGAATCAAGAAACTGTGAATATTGATGATTTAAAATTGTATTTAGATGCTTTAGGTAATAGATATGATTCATACAAATTATATTACAACAAATATGAAGGAGATTTGTTAGTAAACTGTGTAGATGAGACTGAAGTAGATCTCATGATTAATCAGTATTATGAATTAGAGGAAAAGATTCTTTCTTGTAAAAGTCAGGCCTTGAATAAATTAAAATGTGTAAACCAGGC